AGGTTACTTTGAACAAGCTGATGATAGGTTTAACTCCTTGGCATATACCAGTACCAATTTATTATCGAAACGAGTGAACGAATCGTAGAGGGATCGGTTTTCTCACTGGGCAGACTCGAACTTTAGACTTTTTGCGCTGTAGGAATTCTGTGTTGCAGCGTTTGAGCAGTAGATCTTAGAATTTGCTAAATTTTTTGAATTGCATTCTTTGCTACTCCTACTCCATAAAGAGCCGTCTCACTATAGTTCAGGTGAAGCACTAGAGGGATTGTATTCAAGCCTCATGTGTAAGGTGATATTTTACGGTACAGACTGTCTTTCATCGTTTAGATATAGTAAGGTCATATTTTACGATGCAGTCTCTGTGTGTTTCATCCCTTAGCTGTAAACGTAGATCGGGCTATGCATGCGGGTAGGAGTGGGAATCGTCAGTACAGCCTTCTACCCACCATGTATTGAAAGGACATGTAACTATTTTGCAAGATGGATATGTGAAAGAAAAAGAGAGAGAGAGAGAAAAGTGTTGTTGCTGAGGACACAGACACACACACGCATACGAACATACACACATACACACATAGACACGCATACGCACGCACACACACACACACACACACACACACACACACACCCAAAGCCGTTTTTTAAAATGACTAACGCTTTGAAGAGTGACTCTTTCGGGAGAGCCGTGGTTGAATGATGATTCCTTCAGAAGAAGAAGCAAATTCTGGATTGCCGGAAAGTTAGTCATCAGGCGATGCAGCAGTGATCGAAGCATCTAGAAGACTTTTTTTTTTCATCTTCAGGCGTGAAAAAATAAATTATGAATTAACAGCTCTTTCAAATATTCGCTGCCGTTTTGTTCTAGTTTAAATTTAAGGCTTAAAATCTCGAAAAACTCGAATTTTTTGGTAAAATGTGTATAACCGTAACTATAATGTTGGCGTGAAGTTAATTGGAGATGGAAGAAAGAAAAAAATCAGTTTTTTTTAAAAACCAGTTTTTTTTAAAACCAGTTTTCTTGAATAATCTCATCGTTGTTTCAGCCTCATAACAGTTTATATTTGCGTCGATTAGCTGAAATACGTTATACGCAAGGAGGCCAAGAAAATACAGAGCTGGCCAAATCGTATTTTGAACAAGCAGTACAAACAAATCCGTCATGTGCTCGTTCTCGCTATGGAATTGTTTTGGTGAGTTTCATTTTTTCCAGCACAAAGCATCTTCAAGGACACAGAGCTGCGTACTGAATCAACACATTACTGCTGGAATTGGAAATCTGGTATCCCAGGGCATATTGAAGACCATTATTGAGCGTAGCATTGATTTTTTATGCGCTACAGCGCTGCTACAGTGAGCAAAAACGCGTATTGTCCGGAGATCTTGTGTGTGTATGTGTATGTGTGTGTGTGTGTGTGTGCGTGTTTGTGTGTATGTGTGCGTGTGTATGTGTGTGTATGTGTTTGTGCGTGTTTGTGTGTGGGAACGAGTAAACTTTGTCACCCACTTTCAACTCAGCAATCAGGGATGCTGGGAGGATGAAATTTTGGGGTTATATTTCCACCCGTGTTTTACTTTTCCGTTTTAAAACCCTCACTCATACGCGTTTAGATCTCAGCGTACGGACTCGCGGAAAAAGTATGCCAGATTTCTTTGGCGGGGAACGATTTGGTGAACCAGAAAAGATACTATTCTCAGTGCATTTGTGAACTAAAGTTTTCAAAACCAGCCATTGCGCACTCTTGTGCAGCGGTCATTTCAAAGTTTGCACCTGGAACTGTGCTAAGTCGAAAACTAGCCGGAAAACAGTAGCTGAAATTTTGTCAGAATGTTTATTGTTCGTATGGCAAATCGTATACCTAAATTGAGTTTGGATTTATACTTCAAAAATATTTGTAGCAAAATGGCCATTTCGCTTGCCAGACAAGCTGCGAAGTTGAAACTTTGTAAGATTATCCTTTACTCACGTGGGACCTTAATTCAGGATGAAGATGAAAGTCGTGCGCGCAGACATGATAAATACTCAGTTTTATTGCAAACTCAAAAGTGGATGCATTTTGCAGATTTCATAATCCTCTTCCGAATTCGTTCAAATTTGCGGTTGTTCAAAAAACAGGCATGTACCCGAGGAATGGCTGGGCATTGTGCGAAAAACTGACAATCGTGCACTTGCAGGTCAATGTGGCCCTATAATGCAACACCTTCATCCCAACTGATGCCCTTCCTCCTGCATGCCAGTAAGGATCAAAGCACGGCCAGTATTAGCCCAAGTGTTAGG